TCAATTTTATCAAAGGAATAGAAGTTCTTATCAAACTCCCGGTCAGGAGAATCCGGAGTGATAATGGCTCGGAATTTGTCAATTCCACCATTGAGAAGTTCCTCACAGAAAAAGGAATCGATCACAATTTCTCAGCTTCGTACACTCCACAACAAAATGGTGTAGTTGAAAGACGTAATAGAACACTCGTTGAAGCTGCTCGATCCATGCTGAATTATGCAAACCTTCCACTCTATATTTGGGCTGAAGCTGTATCCACTGCTTGCTTCACTCAAAACCGAAGCATCATCAATCGACGGATCAACATGACACTATACGAAGCAATGAATGGTCGAAAGCCAACGATCTCATTCCTACATATCTTCGGATGTAGATGCTTCATCAAAAAACAACCGTGATCAGCTTACAAAGTTCCAACCTAAAGCTGATGAAGCTATCTTTTTAGGATACTCTTCAAAATCCAAGGCTTACAGAGTTCTCAACCGAAGAACTCGTGTTCTGGAAGAAAGCTTCGATATTACCTTTGATGACAACTTTGTTCGGAATTCTGGCCCCTCTCACATCACAACTCACATCATGGAGTCTGATGCTCCTCCGCCAGGATGTCCGAACCCTCACACCATTTTCGAGGTTGACTTTGAAACCCTCTCTGGTCCTTCCGAAACAGCTCTCGATTCCGAATCATGATCACGACCATCTCTGATTCCAATTCCTCCCTCAGAAGCCCCAATTTCTCACAACCTCTCTGGTCCTCTTCCGAGCCTACCTCCATTTGATTCCGAACCGTTTCAACCTTCACAGGTTGAGGGGGAGAATAATGCAAATCCTTCTCCTGAATCAAATGTGGATGGCTTCCAAGATACAACTGCTGATTTCGATGACTCAAATCCTCTCAACATTGATGAAAACGAAAATTTCTTTGAGTTTCCTTCTGATGATGATGTAAACCTCTCTGGTTCTGGTTCAGAAGTTCAGGGGGAGCATCATCCCAATATTCAAATCATTCAGGGGGAGCAAATCAATTCTACTGTTGATATAGGATCCTCCGCTGCACAAGAACTCCCTCGATTGCATGTTTGGACGAAGGATCATCCTCCAAACCAAGTGATTGGCAACCCGAATGTTGGTATTCAAACTCACTCAGCTACCAACATTTAAAATGAATGCCACTTTTCAGCATTCATTTCCATGGTTGAACCCAAATTCATCAAGGAAGCATTAGAGCATGCTGATTGGATTACAGCCATGCAAGACGAACTGGCAGAATTTAACCGAAATGAAGTCTGGACTCTCGTACCTCCTCCTCAACATCACCCTATTGTTGGTACAAGATGGGTATTTCGCAACAAGCTAGACGATGCAGGAGTTATCATACGAAATAAGGCAAGATTGGTAGCTAAAGGTTTCACTCAAATTGAAGGTCTTGATTACGACGAGACATTTGCTCCTGTTGCACGTCTTGAAGCTATCAGAATCTTTCTTGCTTATGCAGCCCACAAAGGTTTCAAAGTTTATCAAATGGATGTTAAGAGTCCTTTTCTTAATGGTGAGCTTGACACTGAAGTATATCTTCAACAGTCCCACGAATTTGTTAATCTCTCCTTTCCGAACTACTGTTACAAACTCCGAAAGGCTGTCTACGGACTCAAGCAAGCTCCTCGGGCTTGGTACGAGACTCTCACTGATTTTCTCAAGCGCTCAGGTTTTCAAAGAGGTATACTGGATCCCACTTTATTTCGAAGATCAAATGGGAAACATCTCATGCTGGTACAAATTTATGTGGACGACATCATTTTTGGATCTACCGATTCATCTATGGTTGCTGATTTTGCCAAACTTATGATCAGTCGTTTTTAAATGAGCATGAATCGAGAATTAAGCTTCTTTCTTGGCCTTCAAGTCAAACAGACTAACAAAGGTATTTTCATTCACCAAGAGAAGTACATTTCTGAGCTTCTTAAGAAATACTCTATGGACACCCGTGCCTCAGCCAAGGTACCTATGGGCTTCGGTCACAAAATCTTTGCCGACCCTTCGGGTGTTTCAGTAGATGAAAAGAAGTACCGTGGAATGATTGGATCCTTACTCTATCTCACTGCAAGTCGTCCGGACATAATGTTCTTAACATGCTTGTGTGCCAGATTTCAAGTCAATCCGAAGATGTCTCATCTTTTGGCTGTGAAACAAATTTTCCGATACCTCAAAGGTACAAAGAACCTCGGAATCTGGTATCCAGCAAATGAAAGTTTCCTTCTGCAAGCTTACTCTGATTCGAACTATGGCGGTCTTCAACTCGATAGGAAAAGTACATCAGGAGGATGTCAATTCCTAGGTGGTCGTTTAGTCAGCTGGTCATCCAAGAAACAGAACTGCATTGCTCTCTCTACAGCCGCAGCTGAATACATTGCTGCTGCCAGCTGTACTTCTCAAGTTCTCTGGATGAAATCTCAACTCTTGGATTATGGTTACCGATTTCAACGCATTCCTATCTACTGTGATTCTCAAAGTGCCATTGCCATCTCACACAATCCAATTCAGCACTCCATGACGAAGCACATTGACATTCGGTACCACTTTATTAAAGATCATGATCTAAATGGTAACATCGAACTTATTTTTGTTCCATATGACGATGAAATTGCTGATGTCTTTACTAAGGCACGAAACCAAATTTAATGGTTTTCTGAACAAAATGGGTATGATGATGCCTGATCCTCAATTCTTTCAGGAGACATGTTCTCTTTCATCGAAGTATTCAGAAGAAAAATATGCTCCGAACTCATTTATTTTGCTTCAGAACTATTTTTCCTCTAAATACATAGGATCCTTTTACTTATCTCTTTTACTAATTATCCCTTGAGTTTCTTAAGTTGTACAGTTCATTCTCTTCTTCACGACGATCTGGATCGACCATCATCACAACATGCTCCAGAATTTCAAATCTGCTATGGAATTTCAAAACATGCTCCGGAATTTCAAAACATGCTCCGGAATTTCAAATCTGCTCCGAAATTTCAAAACATGCTCCGGAATTTCAAAACATGCTCCGGAATTTCAAATCTGCTCCGGAATTTCAAAACATGCTCCGAATTTCAAATCTGCTCCGGAATTTCAAAACATGCTCCGGAATTTCAAATCTGCTCCGGAATTTCAAAACATGCTCCGGAATTTCAAATCTGCTCCGGAATTTCAAAACTTGCTCCGGAATCTTAATTTGCTCCGGAATTCCACAGTGCTCCGGAATTTTCATAAATGCTCCAATAATTTTCAAAATTGTTCCGGAAAACCTTTTTTATCATACTTATTCCGGAACATCTCTCTTATCTTCCGGATCATCCACTGTCCGAAACAATTCATCCGGAATACCAAGAGGAAATGAGGTGAAACGTTTTTTTAACGGTTACTTTTCAGGAAGATCCTTATCCAATCTTCCTCGTTTGTGTGACACGATTGCACGCCCTCTAAAATGGAAAACGAATTGACGGTTACACTTCCCACTTTTAGACCAATTGCTTTGCCCTTTCATTTCAAGTGTCTAATCTCATCTTCCCAACATTAAATGCGACCCGATGGATTTCGGATCCTCATCATTACCTTTTCCAACCCGACCCGACTTTTCCTACCTATAAATACCTTTTCACAAATTACCTTTACCACTTTACGATCTCTCAATTCTCAAACCTCTCTAAAACCCTCACAGTTCTTCGTGTTCTTCAAGCTCTCATCCTCTTCAACAATGGAGTCCTCCAAGAACCAAGCCTCTACTGCTCAAACCCCAAAGAAGTCCATTGCCAGGAAGAAATCTTTGAAAGGATCGAAGGGTTCATCGTCGTCGGCTAATCAAGAACCTTTTCTTCGTGACACCACTCAACTGTTTTCACTAAATCCCCTTGACTACGATGAATCAATCAGGATCATGATTGAGTTCCTTGCTTATCATCCTCTCTCCATTCCACTTACCAAAATCCCAGATCCTCCACTTCCTCTTTCTCATCTTCATCGTGCTTTCACAAGCATCAAACTTGAAGATGATGTTCTGATGGCTTCCATCATCGATGATCGCCCCATTCCTGTTTATAAAGCGACCTTCCTCAAAGCCATTGGAATTTCTCCCAACCCTGCTGGTTTCAAAGTAGTGGAACCAATTGCTGAAGAGTTTCAGACGTTTCTTAATTTCATTGGGTACAATCAAGACTATCGTGCAAAGGATTTCAAGAAGACTGCAGTTTCCGGGCTCAAGACCGTTCTCATGCACTTAATCATTCGTGGTCTATCAGGCAAGCATGGCGGCACTGATACTCTTAGCAGGGACTGACTGAACGTGGTATTCAGCATCTATTCCGGACGCAACAACGCAGTCGATCTTCCGGAAGTGCTATGGCAAGACTTTTGCAAATTTCCCATCAAGAGGAAGCCGAATGAAATTTCGAGCCCTGGATTTTGGGCCCTGACGATTGAGCAAATCTTCAAGGAACTTAACATTCCCATTCCGGTGAGCACCATTCCTCCGGAGGTATGTGCATCCTTTAAACTTGTTAAGTCTTACAGAATTCCGGACCAATCATCTTTTGGTCCGGTCAGACGACTTCCGGACAATATGTTGGCCATCATTCCTTCCGGATCCCCTTATTTGAAACACCACCTTGCAATACTTATTTTACTTTGTTATTTCTGGGATGTGGTTTTTCATGTTTGAGCTATGGCTGTGATGATTTGACATCTGTGAGTGCTTGATAGGTCGGGTTGGGAGGCTAAGCATTAGAATTCCTTGGAAAAAGCTTGGGTGGGACCCTATTATAATAATTTTGTAGGATATATTAGTTTGTGCCTCTCAACGTGAGGATGAAGAGGTAAGTGATATCTCATATCAAGATATGAGTATTGTGCATCTCCATCATATTAGATAACTTTACATTGCTTGGGCCCAGGGTTTCCCTGCCAGGTCAGCTTAACACAAAAAATCTAATGTAAACAACTATTCTTTTTGTAGTGGAGTGTTGATGATGTTGAAAGATGAGAATTTGCTGGAAAAAAGGCCAAACTTGCTACAGCAGAATTGGCAAAGTTATCGCAACGTGTGTGTGGTGAGTGACTGCTATCCACCTATAGCTATAGGTTACATTGTTATAACTCCTGTTTTTCATTGTGCATTAGGATGATATGCATCCATGTATCTAGAGAAGTCCAATCTTTGTAGTTTAGTGAAAATGCAACCATGTTTTGTCTGTCCTGTATATAAATTAGGCAGCTTTTTCTTCACTGTTGTCGGTTTTAAAATTTCTTAGATCTTCCAGAGTTGTTTAAGATCACCCTTTTACTATACTTTTTAGTAGTTGTAGGTAAAAGTGAGTGTTAGTTATTCACTGTTAATTTATCTACTTCTTTCATCCCAAGAAGACGTAAAGTTTGATTTGACAATATATAATAAAAACGTTGGGTATTGGTCAAATATCTAAAATGTTCCCTAACGAGGGCAAAATAAAGAAAAAATCAAGTTTGCAGATATTGAGTGATGATAATTAATGGGAAAAACAGGTAAAGAAATGTTGTTTGTCGTATATGGAGATATGGGATTGGTGACATTCTGGGACACAACCTTTTTTTTTCTTTTCTTTTTTTTTTTATAAAAACAGCAAATATTTTTCACATTTTTGGTGCTAATATATTCTGTTGTTTGCAGATAATGATAATCAAACTGGGAAATCATTTATTTCATACATTACTGCGAAGGTAGTGAGATTCCATGTTGCTTTAACTTGTTAATAATGATAAAATCATAAACACTTACGTCTGTGTTTCTGTTGCTTGTTAGGGTTACTTATCCTGTAATAAGTTTTCAGTAAACTTCAGGTTTTTTTTTATTTCCATCATGTTCTCCATATTATTGATGGCATTCAAGTCACCATCAGGAATGTCCATGTTGTATATAGAGATATTTCAAATGACAAGGCACAGACTGTATTTGGTTTGAAGTTGGCTAGTTTGACTGCAAGGAAGCAAAATCTTGTTGGGTATCTCTTTTTTTCTCTACAATCATATTGTTGTATGTAGCATTTCCAAAGATAAATATATGTTTTTTTCAAATACCTTAACCTAAAAAGTTATCAATTGCACACTTTGTTTCAAAAAACCATCTGTCCAATTGATCTTTTCTCAGTTTATCGACTACTTAAAACTCTGAATTACTCTAATATAATTTCAGGGTAAGTGGAAAGGTGAGAGCTGGCCAAGTAAACAAACTTGTTGAGATACAAGGTTTGGAAATCTACTGTAAAACCTTTCATGGATCTGCTGAAGATCTGTATACCAACAATGGTGAAGACTCCATGTCAATGGTTACTGCAAGCTTTCAAAATGATGAACATGTTCACTTGTTGTCCCCAGTCGATGTATCTGCTTCTCTTTCGGTATAAAAGTCATGCTCTAATTGCATCATCTCATAACAATTTTCTAGTGCACATTAGTTAGATTTTTACTGTTGTACTTTGCAGGTGAACAGGTCTGGAAGGCTCGAGAATAATGCTGCACAATACTCGGTTGATATCGAGTTATCTGGCTTGGTTAGTTTCTTAACTTGTATTATGTCAGATTTCATACATAACAACATTCAACTGACATGTCCGACTTTTAGGTTTTGTCCCTTGATGAAGATTAATTGCAGCAAATACTGCATCTGTATGATTATCTATGCACCTGTCGGCTAAGAGAGAAGTAAGTGGAATGTTGGTGTTATCCTTGTTTAATTACACTTTAAGATTGTGAAAGATGGGACATTGGTCTTTTAGATATGGACGATATCGCCCTTGGGGGATACCTATATCAGATAGACCTTTGGGGTGGCAGATAAAATGGTGGCATTATGCTCAAAACTCTGTGATGTCTGATGTTCGTAAAAGAATGAATAAAACTTCATGGAAATACCTAGGAGAACGTCTGCAAGTTGTTCTTTATTCATCTATGATCTACCATTTGCTGTGTGCATGGAATGCTTGAAATCTTAAACCCTTAAAAACCTTTTACTTTACAGAGGCAGAAAAAGACGATATGTTAAGTTGTACAAGTTGAAACTGGAATGTCTTCGAAAAGAGCAGGTGAGGTCATTACACATATACAGTTTTCTTGATTTAAACATTATATTTATATGGTGTAAATGATTCAAACATTATTTGGTGTATATGAATTATGATCAGCCTCTGGATGATGAAATTGTTTTGGAGTTAGACCAAATGGAGAAAGTATCTGATATAGAAGATATCTTGAGTTACAGGTCTGCTGCTGAACATGAGCTTCAGGTATGATTATGATCATTGTTGTTAATATCTATTGCATGTGCTTTTTACTTATACATTTTATTAAAGACTATGAACATGTAGGAGTTCTTGGTGGATTCAGCTTCTGGTTTTGGAAATAGTGAAGCAAATACTACCATGGATGATGACCAAACATCTGGCAAACCACAAGGATGGTTGAAGTGGCTTTCCCGTGGTATGTTGGGGGCTGGAGGTACAGATGATTCCAGCCAGTTTTCTGGTGTTGTTTCAGATGAAGTAATTAAGGTATGTATGTGTGTAAACTGTTAAGCTTATTTTTATTCATCCAAAATGATTTCACTTTAACTCATCTTTATATATAATATGATACAGGACATTTATGAGGCAACAAAGTTTCATCCTACACCTTCCCCTGTTCTTGATGCTGCTAGAAGTGATAGACTTCTTTTGTCCTTCATTAAATGCTCTATACATCGAATTTCTGCAACTCTGCGCAATAAGTATAATCTATCTAATTATTTAACTATCTTTACGTAATGTAGTTTCTAAGACTTTATTCTTTTTTCTAGGGATCTGGACTGTGCTATTGGTGAACTGGTTTTTGAGGAGAATCTTGTGGAATGCATGATTTGGGAGGAATCTGCTGTTGTTACTGCATCAATCAATGGTGTTGAGATGATTAATTCATTAAACAAGCAAGTTGTTTTACGTGTGAAAAGGGTTTGTGTCTTCATGTGTATTATTGCATGCCTTGTTATAGGGAGGGAAGTCTTGAGTTATTTGAGTTTTTGACTATTTTCCATTTTCTTTCAGGCCATCTCTTAGGAGAATTTTATTCAAGAGGAGAAGCCGTCTCTAAATATCCAAGCTTACATACCACAAGCAAATCGTGAGGGTGACTTGACATTGAAGGTACCCAACTTCCATTTTTTTTAAATAAATATCTTGTGCTATAAACTTCTGATAATGACAATGAACCTTAACTTTGTTTTTAGGTTTTGCTTGAGCCGATTGAAATGACATGTGATTCAACATATCTTGTTAATTTTGTGGAGTTATATACTGTGTTGGCTTCCTTTCAATGTCATGAAGGAAGGGTGAGTGTTATTCTAGTTTACATGTTTTGAAGTACTTGCATGATTACATGTCTCAAAGTAGATGCATTCTATATCTGTAGATAGTGAATTCATTATTCCATTAATACGCAACTAATAGATTCTATATGATTAGATGAGAAAGACTGGAAAGTGGTACATAAATTTTTGATACAACTAACATGAAGCTTATTATGAAAGATTAACTTACTTTTCCTTATGAGGTTTTTGAGAAACAACTTTCACTGGTTTCATGTTACAGGTCCTAAACTCGCTTAATGGGATAGAAGACATGAAGTCACGTCTAATATCGAAAGCCGAGTATGTCTTCTCCTATGATCTTACTGGAATAATATTATTTCCTTTAGGGTCTAGAAATGGGATTGTATTTAAACTAACATCTCTTCAACTATGTATTTTCTCTTGTTTTGTTTTGCAGATACATGTTGTCAAGTCGGAAGAGAATGATGTGGGATATTAGTTTAATAAACATCAAGATAATTATTCCCTGGGAGAATGGGAAGTCAGAGATACATAAATTGGTATTGATTTCTTTTTAAATGGTTCACATTATTATTTGTATTAACTTCAAACCTTAACATACAGATACTTGGATTAACAGCTGTCACCTTTTCATCCAAGCATGATGTTAGCTGTTTTGCACCAGATATCAACGTACCATCTCAATTCATGAGGAATTTAATAGATGACAATTCTTCAAGTGAGCTTCTAGAAGGAACTCAGATTCAATATATGTATGATCTCTTGGTGTAAGGTCCTGAAAACGGATCTTACCAGTGATCAAACAATCAAACAATCAAATAGAACAAGAATTGGAGTAGAAGTAGAATAGAAACAAGCTTGCACACGCTTTATAACTGAAAAACGTCGGGTACAACTTGTTTACAGCGACCGTGAACTCTCTAGGATCAACAACCGATAATGACCTACACAACCTCTATTTATAGGAGACTTGGGCCGGAAACAGGGTTTACAGCCGTAAAAGGGTTTACGGCCATAAACACACTACAAAACCGTAAACACCAAAATAACCTACTATTACATCATAAAGACTCAAAAGAACAATTAAAATAGAAAGCCTAGACCAAACCACTAACTGGACCCTTCAATCTCCCCCTTGGTTTGGTGCTAGCTTGGACTCAATCTTAGTCGACCACCATCACGTCTGACTTCCCCATTGCCCCGTTCCACATCCTTTTGTTAATGATATCGGCAACCATAGACGCATATTCTTTAGCAGCTGGCTCAAAAATATCTTCTGCAACCTTGATCTAATGAAGGTTCAGCTGATGAATATCCCATTTCCCAAACTGAAGCAAATCTCTTTTGTCATATAAACGAATGCATCCATTTTCAAGCTTTATGACAACAGAGGTTGTAGTTTCATCAAACACCCAGTAAAGCATGGACTTTAAAGATCCATCTGGATGATTCTGAAGTACAGGAATCTGTTTTACTTGTTTGGTAGCTGGCCACATCACAGATCGAACAGGACGATTGGTTTTGGGATCAAGTATACTTGGGTATAGTTTAATGATCGACTCTGCAGTCTTCATTGAAGGAAAACCCTTTGCCACTTGATCTTCCAAAAAATGCTTGAATTGTTCTGCATTGGGATCATTTGAAGGATTTGCAAAAGGAACTTTTGATAGTTCTGTAAGATCAACCCTGGTCTAGGAGTGGAAATCATGAGCATCTTTATATAGTTCTGTGTTGCCACTTTTCCGTCTCACGATCCACATATTTAAAGTGTCGTGAAAACCCCATGAAACGATCCCTGACCTATCACCATATACATCTCTAAAGCGTTTCTCTCCAAGATCTATAACAGTGATGTTAGGTTGATTCCCAGGAGCATTTTGATCCGAGCTCCTTTTAAATAAAAATTGACCTTTCTCAGCTACTTTGGCCAATTTGGCACGTTTCAGAGCTACCACATTTGGAGCTTGAGCTGGTTCCTTATCAAATCGATCCACAACTCGAGGAGTTTGAGCATATACTGGAATAACGGGGGCATCTTGATTAGGGATATAAATTCTAGGCTCATCAACAGACAACTTGAAATTGTCAAAATAGGATTTTTGTACATTATATGTCACCAAGAAAAAAAGATTTTTGTACATTATATGTCACCAAGAGGAGAGAACGAATCTAGAGGAAGGTCTTTAACTAGAAAGTCCTCAAGAACTCGTTCTCGGGATGATGATTGGAAGGATGATCGAAGTAGAAAAAGGGGGGTTTTTCAAAAGAATAAAAGGGTTTTTCATAACAAAGTCCCAAACAGTTTGTCAAAACCGAACAAGGCTCCGCCAAGATCGGTTTCGTCAAAGAGCAGTTCTGGATCTTCAACCACTTCTGGTATAACTTCCAGATGCTCAATACAAACTGATAAGAAACATATTTCAAAACCACCGGTGACTGTTAGGAAACCTAAATATCATTGGATACCCAAATTAACTTCCAATCAATCATCAACATCCTCTGAAAAGGTTAGAAATGATGATTCATAATTGAAGATTTTGAAAGATCAATAAGAGAAAGTGAAGAGCCAACCCAGGACAGTGATGACCTGGGTTCCCAAATCTAAATGATCCCGCTCATTTTGCAGGGACAGTTGCGGAGGAATGTCGTCAGACCTTGGTACGTCGACAACGGCTGCTCCCGGCATATGACAGGAGACATCTCCCAACTGAGCGACATTCAATCCTTTAATGGGGGATATGTTTTCTTTGCGGGCGGAGAAGGTGGCAAGATCACTCAGAGAGGAACTGTAAAAAATGGAGTGCTGAGTTTTGAGAACGTCAACTTTGCTCCCGAGTTAAAACACAGTTTGTTGAGTGTGTCTCAGATTTGTGACAAAGGTTACTCTACACATTTCACCGAAAAAGAGTGCATGATTCTCAAGCCAGACATTGTCATCCCAGAATAATGGATTCTTGTCAAATCAAAGCGGGATGGAAATGCGTATATTATTGATATGAAAAGCAACATTTCTGAACAAGTCACTTGCCTCTTTTCGAAGGTATCAGAACAGAACGCAATGCTGTGGCACCGAAGACTCGGTCATGCTAACGCTAAGAACCTAAATCGTCTTGCAAAGAATGAGATGGTCTGAGGCTTACCTGTCAGAGACTTTATAACTTTTGAGAAGTGTGTGTCATGTGCCCAGGGAAAACATCATAGAAAACCACACCTGCCAAAACAAGTTAACTCAATCAGTCAGGTGCTCTAGTTATTGCATACAGACTTATTTGGTCCGGTCAACGTCCTAAGCATCAACATAAGTTCGTGCTGTCTGGTTGTGATCGATGATTTCTCTCATTTTACGTGGGTCTTCTTCTTATCCAACAAAGCTGGGGTTGCTGATCTGATAAAAACGTTCATCGTGATGATTGAGAACCAAACCAACAACCGGGTGAAGGCGCTTCGTACTGATAATGGAACAGAATTCAAGAATGCAGTTCTTGATCATTTTTGCGCAGATAAGGGAATTGTGCGTCAATACAGCTCTGCTCACACGCCTCAACAAAATGGTGTTGCTGAGAGGAGAAATAGAACATTAAAAGACGCTGCAAGAACAATAAGAAGACGAAACAGATTGTAGAATCCTTCGACGTGCGTTGGTTGGAGGAGAATAAGACGGATGCTCGAGTGGGCCCTGATTGGTTATTTGATTACACATCGCTCTTCAAGTCCATTAATGTGTCTTCAGATGGTTCATCTGGGTCTTCCTCTGGTTCGAAGATTGTTTCTGAAGACGAAGACGAAGAAGTTGTTTACAGACCTCCAACGATATCCTCTTCACCACCTGAGGGGGAGTCATCTGCTCCACCTGAGGGGGAGTCATCTGTTCCACTTGGTAGTCCAGAGTCTCCAGTTCAAAATGATACTCCAGATGCTGATGCTACACCTCTTACCCCTATTGAAAGAGAGTTCATGTCTAGAAATGCTTCTGCTGTCACTCCAACTTTTATGTAACTACTCTTTCCTGAAGAAATTGCTAATGAGTTTGTAGCAGATTCATCTAATGTGGAACAGTCAGCAAATAATGGAGGTTTCAACATTCACAGTCTTCCCGTTTCACTCAATGATATCAGCCAAGAGATACCTTCAATAATTCAACGCGATCATCCGATCGAAAACATCATTGGTCAGCTGGGTGATGGAGTTTGAACCAGAAGTCAGAGTGGAGATGTCAATACATGTCTCTATTCTTGCTTTATCTCTCAAATAGAGCCCAAGAATGTTGAAATGGCTTTGAATGAGCCCAGTTGGGTAGATGTTATGCATGAAGAGCTAAATCAATTTGAAAAGCTCGGGGTTTGGAAATTGGTTGAGTTACCAAAGGGAAAAAAGTCTCTTGATATACGATGGGTCTATCGAAACAAGCAGGATGATTCTGGCGTTATAGTGCGCAATAAAGCAAGATTGGTGGTTCGCGGGTTTCGACAAGTCGAGGGTCTTGATTATACTGAGGTTTATGCTCCACTGGCTCGCTTGGAGGCTATTCGTATCTTCCTTGCATATGCTTCCTACATGAACTTCACGGTTTACCAAATGGATGTTAAGACAGCTTTCTTGTATGGCAAGGTGAAGGAAGAAATCTACGTTGATCAGCCCCCTGGGTTCGTTAACTCGAAGTTTCCTAATCATGTCTACAAGTTGGACAAGGCGTTGTATGGGTTACATCAAGCTCCTCGAGCGTGGTATGCGACTCTCACAAAGCACTTGCTCGATCATGGATATTCTCGTGGCACTATCGATCAAACTTTATTCATCAAGCATGTTGGTGATGATCAGATTCTAGTACAGATCTATGTTGACGACATTATCTTCGGGTCTACCAGTCCACAGCTATGCAAAGAGTTTGAAGGCGTTATGAAAAAGAGGTTTGAGATGAGTTCGTTGGGTGAAATGACCATGTTTCTGGGGCTTCAGGTCAAACAAAATTCAATTGGAATCCTGCTCCATCAAGCTAAGTATGTGGAGGATATTCTTGAGAAGTTCGGGTTTCAAGACGCAAAACCTGCATCGACGCCGATGGCCGAAAGACCCCTGCTGAATCCAGATACTGATGGTGAATCTGTAGATCAGACACACTACAGATCGATGATCGGATCGTTGATGTATCTTACTGCAAGCCGTCCAAACATCATCTTTGGAGTTTGTTAATGCGCACATTATCAAGCTAATCCTAAACTTTCACATCTTATTGCTGTCAAAAGAAATTTTCGGTATATTAAAGGCAGCCCAAAATTGGGTCTTTGGTATCCGAAAAATTCCAAATTTGATTTATATACATTTGCTGACAGTAATTATGGAGGCTGTGAGCTTGACAGGAAATCTACATCAGGAGGGTGTCAATTCCTTGGAGACAGGCTGGTGTCATGGCAGTGCAAGAAACAACATACCGTCTCAACCTCAACAACAGAAGCGGAATACGTTGTTGCATCTGCTTGTTGCTCTCAAGTTATCTGGATCTAACATCTGCGTAACGTACCAAAACTAAATCGTCTACGCTCTGTGATTCGATGCGCTGGTAGGCACGAAAGATTCTAAATGGACTTGACTAGGCAGAGTTAAACTTAAGGAATTCAAAGACTTGAAAAATCTTGACCTAGTTAAATCCGTTTAGCCTGACAATATGACGCTTGGATAGGTTGAGTAGGGAGATATACATGAGAATCTACTGGTCACATTAAAAGAACTCGTATCTAGAATTGCGGATTAACTTTTCCTCGATGTGCGGATTC